GATGCCGGCGGGGTCCCGGCACGGGGAGCTGCCACCCCTCGCTGGGTTGGACATTTCTCGTGTATAAAACTCCTCCTTCCCGCTCTCTCCTCCCGACCCGTGTCCCGGGGCTGCTTCTCGTGGGGTCCCTCCCGCTGTTCCCCTCGGGGCGCGACTCGTCCCTCGGGGAGGGGGCGTCTCGGCGGGCGGCCGGAGGGCCGGGCTGGCCCAGGGTGGGGCTTTGGGCACCTCTGCTCTGCTTGGAGCTTGTGCTGCCCGCCGGGGATTCCCTGGAGCTGCGGCCTCCGCTCCGCTCGTCCCGCTCCCGGTGACCCCTGGGACACCTCGCACACCCCCGGACTGACTCCGAGGGGAATAAACTCTTCCTTCAGCTCCCGGCGCCCCGCGACGGGGCACGAGATGTCCCCGCCTCTCCCCCCGCTCTCCTCCCCCGGGATGTTGCCATTCCCAATAAACTGCAGAGAACATTCACCAGCTCGTTGTGTCGCTGCTTCGGGAGCTGCCCCAGGGCGGGGTGGGAGGGTGCGGGTGGTTCTTCTGCCCCGGGTGTCGTCCCGGGGCTTTGAGGGAACTCCAGAGTTGTGGGGATGGAGCAGGGCACGTGTCCAAGCTCAGGTGATGCCTCTTGGCTCTCACCTGGAGCCACAAACTCACACCCTGGAGTGGGGGGGGCTGGAAGAGACCCGGAGTCATTGGATCATGGAATGGTTTGGGTTGGAAAGGACCCTAAATATCACCCCAATCCAACCCCCTGCCATGGGCAGGGACACCTTTCCCTAGAAGGAATTTGTCACAGCCCTTGGGCCCGCCAAGGCAGTTAAATCCCTGCTCCCGACATTCCCCTTGGATCAACTCCAGGTGGAGGAGACTTTGGTCTGTGCTGGAGGAGAGGGAGGGCCGTGGTGGTCCAGTGGGCAGCGGTGGGAGAGCAGGAGAACATGGACATGGATGTTGGCCAAGCACCTGCCCCTGGCACTCCGCTGGCTCAGTCACCCACAGACTCCCAGGGAAGAGCCGTGATTCCAGCCGTGGGAACGCGGCGGGCTGGGAAGGGGTGATTCATCCCAAACCCCGGAGCCCAGGCCCCGGCAGCTCCCGGGAAAGCCGAGGAACTCCCCCAGTGGCTCTTCCTCCCTCCCGGAGCAGGAGGCAGAGATTTGGAGCAGCTCCACAGGGGCTTTGGGAGGGGAGTGTTGGTGTGTTTGATCTGAGCTGTGCTGTGGTTCCTCCGCCACAGGGAGAGATCAAAGAGGCAGAAAACGCTGTCGGGGTGGATCGGGAGTCCCACAACAGCCCCCGGGAGCTGCCAGTGTCCCCAGAGCGGGTCAGGAAGCTGCAGACCGAGGGAGAAATTTGGGAAAGGTGACAGGGAATGGCTACAGGGCTTATGGAAGAGGGAATCCTACTCCTGGAAGAGGGAATTCTACTCCCTTTGGAAGCCCAAGAGTGCCAGGGCTGGGGAACAGGGCTGGGTTTGGCCCAGACATAAGACGCTGAGAAGGCTCAGAGAAGCTGGTGCTGAGCCAGGAGCACTTTGGTGTTTGGCTTGGGGCAGGAGTCACCTGTTTTGGTGCTTAATCACCTGTTTTGGTGCTTAATCACCTGTTTTGGTGCTTAATCACCTGCTTCGGTGCCTAATTTTAACTCCGTGTTTCTCCTCAGCTCCAAAGCCTGGCACAAACGGCGTCGGAGCCGCTTTGAGGAGCCGCTGCAGCAGCTTTTCCATGTGAGATCCGTGGCAGGAGCTCTTGGCTCTGTGGGATGTGGAGCCCGAGCCCGGCTCGTCGTCCATCCACGTTTTCTGCCGAGTTCCCATTTCCCACATCCCTGATCTCCCTGTGCTCAGCCCCTTGAGGGGGGACCGGCTGGAGCCGAGTTTGGTGCCGAGTCTCACCCGGAGGAGGCCGAGCCTGACTCCAGGTTGGGGATAATCTGCACATCTCATCTGGAGACGTCAGAGTGACTCAATCTGGGGCGTCTGATCCTTGGGCGCTGAGCGTGGTCAGCACCCAGGCATGCGGCTGACGCGGCACATCTGCCCCCTCTCTTCATGGAGCCTCCACGTGGGACGTTCCACGCGAGTCCCGGCGCCTTTGAACTGCGTGTTTGGCAACCTGGAGGGAGGCCAGGGAGAAGGGACGTCCTGTTTTCTCCAGCTGAAGGCTGAGCCATCTCACACCTCCCCAGGGTTGCTCTGGGCTGCAGGAGGAGCTGGAGAACTGAACTCTGTTCCGGGGATGAGAACTGAGACATGAGACCCTCTGGATTCAGGCTCCTTTGGGAAGGGAGGGTGTCTTCTCCCCTCTGCACGGAGGTTGCTCATTGTCCAGCTGCAGGAACACACATCTGGAGAACCCTTGGCCAACTCTTGAGTCCATTGGGATGGGCTGACCCTTGGCCAACCATTGAGTGTTCAGTGGTGGGATGACCCTTGACCAACCCTTGAGTCCATTGGAATGGGATGAGTCTTGGCCAACCATTGACTGGTCAGTGGTGGGATGGCCCTTGGCCAACCCTCAGGAGAGAGATGACCCTCGGCCAACTATTGAGTCCATTGGGGAGGGATAACCCTTGGCCAGCCATGGAATCCCCCTCAAGGATGGGATAACCCTTGGCCAGCCATGGAATCCCCCTTGATGGTGGGATAACCCTTGACCAGCCATGGAATCCCCCTCGATGGTGGGATAACCCTTGGCCAGCCACTGAATCCCCCTCAAGGGTGGGATAACCCTTGGCCAAGTGTTTTTTGAGTCCCTCAAGGGTGGGATAACCCTTGGCCAAGTATTTTTGCATCCCTCAAGGGTGGGATAACCCTTGGCCAACTCTCTCAGAGGTGAGATGACCTTTGGCCAACCACTGGATCCCCCTCAAGGGCGGGAAAAGCCTTGGTCAGTCATGACCTGAGTCCCTCAAGGGTAGAATAAGCTTTGTTATGTGGAATAACCTCGGTTACTGTGGAATAACCAAGTGGTTTTGGAGTTCCTCAGGAGTGGGAGAACCCTTGGCCAACCGTTGAGTCCCTCCAGGGCGAGATAACCATTGGCCAAGTCAAACCTGAGTCCCTCAGGGGTGGGACAACCTTTGGCCAAGTGTTTTTTGAGTCACTCAGGGGTGGGATAACCCTCGGTCAGTCATTACCTGAGTCTCCCAAGGTTGGGATAACCCCTGGCCAACCCTTGGCTGAGTGCCTCAGGACTGGGATGACCCCTGGCCAAGTGGTTTTGAGTCCCTAAAGGGTGGGATAACCCCTGGCCAAGTGGTTTTTGAGTCCCTCAAGGGTGGGATAACCCCTGGCCAAGTGGTTTTTGAGTCCCTCAGGACTGGGATAACCCCTGGCCAGCAGCTGAATCCCCCTCCAGGGTAACATTCTCCCCTCCCCTCCGCCCTGTTCTGCCCACAACCCCCATCCCAGTGACAAACAGGGACATTCCTGTCTCTGATGCCTCGTGACACTTCCAAACCATGCAGAGTTTCCAAAATCTCCTCAAATGCTCTGAAAATCCCTTCTGAAGGTCCCTGTTCATACAAGATCCTTTGAGTGGCCCTGAATTTCTGTTTTAAACCTAATGTGTATTTTCTGTCACTTTTTCCTGATTGTTTTCTGGGAAAATATGCAAATTCACTGTCTGTTTAATTCATTAAATTAACCACGTGTTCAATTGATGATATTCAGACAGATAAAACCTTAAGAATGTCCCTTAAATCATATTTACAGGCTCATTTTCCTTCGAATTAGCACACAGAATCCACTTTGGTTTGGAATGCTGCCCACCAGAATCATTGTGTATTTTCTAATTTAACTCATTAATTAATTTAAAAATTCATTTACATGCAACTCAAAAAAAAAAAGGGTTTCTTTATTTCAGACACATCCCACAAAACACATTTCTCGAGCTCATTCCTTACCCACCCCAGAATATTTGGAAGAGAGAGGTTCCTACTGTGCCTCGGGGGTTGTGACGGCTCCAGCTCTCAGCGGGTTTTTCCGTGTCAGTCGTCTCACTTTTTGGGAAAAAAACTGGTAAATCAGAGGTTGTGGAGTTTCCCTGAGCAGCAGGAGCCCCTCAGCACCTCGAGCTGTCCGTCTGTCCTTCCTCTTCCTCTGTGTGTGTCCGTCTGTCCCCGACGCCGTCACCGAAGGGTCCCCGACGTGTCCCTCGGTCCTTCCCGGTGTTGCGATTCCCTGTCGCCCTCAGAACACCGAGAGGGGTGGGATGATCCCAGTCACCCCCTTCCCTCTGCTCCAGCATCCTCCGGAGCCACGGTGGGTTGTCCCAGGTTCGGGAAGATGCAGGTGGAGGGACTTTAATCCAGGGGTGGAGGACACTCCCATCGCGGTCACACCACACGCTCTGGGGAGAGGTTTCCCCCCCAAGCAGGAGAATCTGCTGAGTCTCCTCAAATTTCGGTGCCGTGAGTTCCCGTTCTGGATTGGGAAACGTTCTCCCGAAACGCCAAAGGCAATTTAACATATAAAAAGCGGATTTAGGGTGTGTAGGAGCAGTTGTGAAAGCCATAATATGGTTTGGATTTCGTCAAAACTTCGCCTTTCCGTGGCACTTTGATGGGGAGATCTTTATCTGGAGTTATTGGGAGTCACTCATGACAGCTGGAAATCCAATGAGGGGCTGCAGAAATGGGGATTATGGACAAAGTGGCTTTCCAAGATGTCATAAAGATACAGGAGCCCACTTAGTCACAGAGACCTGCCTGGATGCTCTGGTTTTATTCACCTCTCGATTACAGGGCGTGTTTCTGGGCAGCCCCAAATATGGCAAAAGCTCACAGAGAATCTGTCAACAACCCCATGCTGATGAAAATCCCAAATTGCTTTCCACCATCACGCCCAAGCCGTCCCGGCCCACCTCCAGCAGCGGATAAAAGGGAATGCCCGGAGCCAGAGGAACCAGAGGAGACTCCGAGCACTTCTGTCTGCCCACACCAGCTCCGCTGCTCTTTGTGCTCCTCCGGATTTGGATTCCACTCGGGAAAAGCCAACCATGTCTCGTCAGTCCGTGTGCTTTGGGGTCGGAGGCAGGAAAGGATTCAGCTCCTGCTCCGCCGTCGGAGGAGGATTTGGGGGCGGCGGCGGCCGGAGCAGGATCAGCTACAGCTCCTTCTCCTCGTGTCGGGGAGGAGGAGGAGGAGGAGGAGGAGGAGGGTGCGGGGGCTTCAGCAGCAGGAGCCTGCACAGCGGGGGGAGCAGCAGGAGGGTGGCCATGGGGGGCTGTTACGGGGGCGGCTATGGGGGCAGGATGGGCGGCTTCGGCGGCGGGATGAGCTGCGGAGGGATGGGAATGGGAATGGGGGGCTTTGGTGGCGGAATGGGCGGCGCTGGAGGGATGGGGGGCTTTGGTGGCGGGATGGGAATGGGTGGTGGCGGAGGAATGGGCGGCTTTGGTGGCCCCGGGTTCCCCGGCCCCGGGATCCAGCCCGTGCAAATCGATCCCACCCTGCTCCGGCCCGTCCACGTGGAGATCGACCCCCAGATCCAGCAGGTGAAAACCCAGGAGAAGGAGCAGATCAAGACCCTGAACAACCAGTTCGCCTCCTTCATTGACAAGGTGAGACCTTAGAGCAGGGGTTTTTTTTTGGAGGAGGCATCTCAAACAGCTTCCCCGGGGTGTGGAACGGGGTTTTTTTTCACTTCCCAAGAAGTGTTGGAGTTCTCAGAGCGGTGCCTCAGCAGCAAGTTGTAATTACCTGGGTTTTAATGAGCAGCAACGAACAATAGACGAGGTTTTGTGCTAATGGAAGATTAAAGAGAACATCTGCAGGACCTTCTGGGGCTCCTCGTGCCAAGTCAGCTCCGCAGACTCATTTTGGGTGATTCAGGGCAAAGTCATCGCCGTAAATTGAATTGTCCTGAGAGTTCTCCTCGCTGGGCTTTGCTTTGAGTGAGACTTTCTCCTCAAAACCTGATTCCGGGGACTTCAGAGCATTAAACACCTCTCCGACACTCTGGGATCGTTTCCATTTCAAACAGAAACCAAAGGAATAGCAAATCCCTCCTGAAAGAATTTATGGGCAGTTAGAGAATAAAAAACCTCTTGGCTTCACTACTGGAAAGCTGACGGCAAAGCCCGACCCTGCTGGAAAACCGGGATGATGTTTCCTCTGCCAACATCTCCGTGTCCCAAAGGGAGAAGTCCAGAATGACTCAAAATTTAATTATTTAATGACTAATAAATTTAATAACGCTTCTCATGCACTTGAGGAGCTCGGATGCCTGGATGAGCCGCAGCTGGGGGCTCGGGGAATGACTCCCTCGGGCTCCCAAAGCGCCCAGCAGTGGGATGTTCCCCTTGGGAATGTCTCACACAACCTTGTTGGGTTTAGGTCCGATTCCTGGAGCAGCAGAACAAGGTGCTCTCCACCAAGTGGGAGCTGCTGCAGCAGCAGGGGCCGTCGGGGCCGAGGAAGGACCTGAGTGTGATCTTTGAGAACTACATCCAGAACCTGAGGAGGCGGCTGGAGAACCTGCTGGGGCAGCGGGGGCAGCTGGAGTCGGAGCTGCAGAACATGCGGCAGTACGTGGAGGAGTACAAGAGCAAGTGAGTGCCCGGGGGGACGGGGAGGGACCACCCAGGGGAGCTGGGACAGCCCAGAGACCCCCCCGGGGTGAGGGATGAGGGGCCCGAGGTGCCACCCTGCCCTGTGCCCCCCCAGGTACGAGGAGGAGATCAACCGGCGCACGGCGGCCGAGAACGAGTTCGTGGTGCTGAAGAAGGTGAGTGTAGAGGCACCGGGAGGGGACAGGAGGCATCGGGTGCCACCAGCTCCCTGGGTACCACCTGCTCCCTGGGGTGCCACCAGCTCCCTGGGGTGCCACCAGCTTCCCAGGATGGGAGCAAAGCGTTGGTCATTGGTGGGATCTCTCTTTTAGGACGTGGACTGTGCCTACATGACCAAGGTGGAGCTGGAGGCCAAGGTGGGAGCTCTGACAGACGAAATCAACTTCCTGAGGTGCATCTACGAGGAGGTAGGAGCTCTCCCTTCCCCTGGGCGAAGCTTTAATGAGGGTGTGGTGGCCAAGGACACCGAGGCTGGGCTGGGTGTCCACGTGGGGTTGGTGTGGAGATGCTGCCCCGGAGCTGCTGCTCTTCCCTGCTCCCTCTGAGCCACGGGTTGTCCGCAGGAGCTGGCCCAGATGCAAACCATCAGCCGGGACCTGTCCGTGGT